GGTCGCAACCCACAGGGTGAGAACCGCTGAGTTAAGGGCACATGTCCGGGGAGCGTGTAGGAGGCAACCAATCAGTGGTTCTCATCATTAATGTTTCTATCTCTCCCTCTCCCTTCCTCTCTGAAATCAACAAAAAATATATTTTAAAAAAAATGAATGTCTCCAAGCATGGCCAAATGTCCCTGGGGGGCAAGATCAGCCTAGCCTAGGCAGATCCCCAACACAGCCCATACCAGGTCATCTGCTGCTGACATAAAATGCTTAGACCTTTTTTTCATACCTAATTCTGCGTTCATGTCTTAAAACCAGTTCAGTTTGATGCCCTACAGCATGTCACGTCACTCAGTTTGTGGCATAGCAGTCCCCACCTTGGACACTTTCCTTTCACAGAACACCAGCACTGGAGCCTCCCCGTCCATGCAGACCGGGCCTCCAGCCTGCCCAAAGCCCCCACCCACGAGGACCCGACCCAAGTCCTGGCTGACCTTTGAGAACCGCCGGGTCTTCCTTCTGATCCTCTCGTCCACCACAGCCCGCCAGGTGGGAGCCACGGCGCAGCTGGGCGGGCAGGTGGAGCCCGGAGAGCCACGCTGGGAAGTCCTCCCAAGGCGCCCAGGCCGAGACAGCTCCTGGGCTGCCAGAGCCAGGACCTAAAGGGGAGAGACCCAGGGCAGCCGCTGTCGATCTGGGGATTTCTAGCTCAAGGTAAACCGAGTGTCCTGTTAGCACCAGCAGCTCTTGCGTCTTCGAGGGGGAGCTTCAGGGAACCCCGCAGAAAGTCAGTGCCACGTACCCCATAATCACTTTGCTTTGTGGGGGACAGGAGGGGAAGGTGGGCATGCTCCCTGGAGACCAGCCAGAGCCTTCACTCCCCTCACAAGGGCCACTTCTCTTCCCAAAGCTCATCCAGTCCTGACCGCTGCCTCACAGGAAAGGGTTAATGAAGCTACATGTGGGTGGGCCCTGAAAACACGAGTGGAAGAAGCCAGACCTAGATGGCCACCAGTACGACTTCCCTTATAGGAAGCACCCAGAACAGGCAAATCCACAGAGAACAGAGTGGACTGGGGAGGAAGTGCTTGTGGGCGATGCAAGATTTTCTGAAAGCAGACAGATCTGATAGACACACAACACTGCAAATGTACCAAATGCCACTGAGTTGTAAACAGCAAAATGCTGTATTTTTTGTGTTATCTTAGTCTTTGCTTTACTCTACATCAGCGGTCGCCAACCTTTCGGAATTCACGGACCCCCGGTTGGCGACGCTGCTCTCCATAACATGTAGCATCTTAACCAGCGTTAAGTGCACAGTTCAGTGACATTACGTACATGCACGCTGCTGTGCAACCACCACCACCATCCACCTCCCGAACTGGTTCAGCCTCCCAAAATGACCCTCTGTCCCCATTAAACACTAACTCCCCCCGTCCCTCAGCCCACGGCACCCACCATCTGCTTTGTCTAAGATTTTAACTCCTTAGGATCTCAAGTGTGTGGAATCATACAGTATCTGTGTTGTGTCTCGCTTATTTGACTTAGCAAAACTACTTCCCAATGCATCCACACTGCAGCAGATCACACAGATGCTGGTCTCAGGCTCAGGTTCAGTGACAGGTACTCTCTGGCTCTGCCCAGGTAGATTTTGGAAAACACCAGCTCCCTGGCGTTGCCCCAGGCCTGGCCCCTCCCATGAGGGCAGCTTGGGCCTGACAAGTGGGACAGGGGCCCCAGGGCACTCACGTCCAGGATGTCCATGCGCTGCCGGAGGCTGTAGTTGATGGCGTAGAACTGTGAGGTCAGATACTCCGCCACCTGAGCCAGGCAGATGAGAGGTCCCAGTGGATCACAACTCCAGAGGTAGGGCCCCCACACAGACACTAGCTGGGGGGGCACAACCCAGGCACCCCATAGCCAGCGGGACTCACCCGGGCCGGGTCTGTGACGGTGACGGCCACCAGGGCTCTCTGGCGCAGCCCCTCAAATCCCGCCACGCTCGTCTTCTCCTCCAGGTGCAGGAGCACCTGCGCTAGCTCCACACTCACCTGCAAACAGGTCAGGGCGCCTTCAGCCCCCGGGCCTGCCCCAGGTCCCCCACAGTGTTCCGTTTCTTTACAATGGAAGGGTCACCTCTTGGACAGCCTGGGACTCTGTTCTCCACCTCCCATCCCAGCAGAGGCCCCAGACACAGGCCTCCTAAGGGGACAGAGGGACAATGAAGCATACAACACGAGCCACACCAGGCTCCCTGAGGGCATTGCTCACTCCCATGACCCTAACGGCCCAGCCCCTCTACCTGCTCACCTCCCGAGTGGCAGCCGGGTTCCTGATGACCAGCCCCTCAAGGGCCCGCAGGGCTGCCTCCCAGCGCTCCCAGTCCTCGGATGTGGTCAGGGCTGAACCAAAACAGGCCTCCATCATTCCTCAGCCCTGACCTTGACCACGGCAGAGCCAGCAGCCAGGGTCTGGGCGCTGGGCAGAAGGCAGGTGAACCCCCAGAACGTGAACAGATCCCATGGGCCAACCATCCCAGGGCAGGGCTGTGCTTGGGGTTGGGTCCTTGCCACAGGGCACTCAGCAGGGGCCCACGCCATGTGGAGAGGCCCACCTTCCACGCAGTCCCGGACGTACATGGGCATCTTGCCACTCTTCAGCTCTTGGTCCCCCGACATGTCATAGGGAACAAACTCATCATCGCTGTGGAAGAATCACAGACATGAGGAACCTGCTGGTCACCCAGGAGCAGAAAGCAGGCAGGAGGGAGTGCCTGAGAGCTGAGGCTGGGCACCCTCCACCAAGAGGACAAGCTCCTGAGTCACCAAAATTCATGTCCCAGGCCCTGGCCAGGTAGGCCAATTGGTTAGAG